TGTTTATTGAATTCAATGTCACATTTGTAATCATGGTAATTTTTGGAGAAAAACGGCACGCTTCGTGTGAAATTTAGTAACTATATGAAGTGGTATAAATATATAAATTTTCTGCCATGTCTTGAATTTGTGATAATTCTAAATGCATTTTAATAGACTGAACCATGCAGTGAAAGAAAACACTAAATGCGCACGCGCACTAGTCTAGACTTCACGTAATGTATGCGTGCGCTCTGTAGGGATGTTTTGAATTGTTTTTGCAAAATACTCGATAATGTCAAATCGCACATCGTTAAAACAACAATTACGATATTATCGCAGACGATATATATCGCGCACACCTACTTTCACGTCACGTGTAATGAAAGTTAACAGGTTATGACAAGATTTAACTTTCCCTCTCAGTGTATCTGGTGACACAAGGAGTCAATCCGAAAGACCATGCGATTAAACAAGAGCTGGTAAGATAAGTTTGTCATTTTACTTATGTTTTAGGTTTAATTTAAGTAAAAATTCATCAGCAGCATTTGTGACAATGTGGATTACCTTTCACGTCACGTGTAATGAAAGTTAACAGGTTCTGACAAGATTTAACTTTCCCTCTCAGTGTATCTGGTGACACAAGGAGTCAATCCGAAAGACCATGCGATTAAACAAGAGCTGGTAAGATAAGTTTGTCATTTTACTTATGTTTTAGGTTTAATTTAAGTAAAAATTCATCAGCAGCATTTGTGACAATGTGGATTACCACAGTAAATAATTGCCTGTACTTTATTTTTTATATATTTTTTCCTATAATATGAAATTTTTGCACAACACTGGTCACAAATGGTGATCACGGTCATGAAAACTGTTCAAATATTGGATCTAATTTTGCACAGACTAGGTGCAAAGTGATTTTAATCACTAGTTTCATAGCAACTTTTTTTTTTTCTGTGATAATCCACTTTATGCCACAAATTCAGTCTATAGAGCTCAACTTAAATTTAAACTAGAACTTTATTTTTATTATACGGGGCATGTATTAAATCTGTGAACAGAAATGCAGTATATGAAGGTAAATTGCATTGTTTATGAAGGATGGTTTACTGTTTTTATCGACTAATTGAGAAGGAAACTAACATCTCCCTTCACCTCACAGGATAGGATCAGGACATACATGAACAAAGTCAAAGAGATCACGGACAAAAGAAAAGCTGCACGTCTGGACAAAGATGCAGCATCGCGGTTTGTTCGGAATGCATTGTGGGATGCAGAGGACAAGAAAAGAAAAGACTCGACTGAGCATCCCCACAGAGGAAAACACGTACGGTTTTCTTGATTGAATTGACTGGTGAAACATTGAAGTTTCCTGCAAATATTTAGCAGACTTCGGGATTAAGCACAACAACTATCTGTCATTTGCCCGGTGACGTGTTATGATGCTGTGTTGAGGAGCATCATTCTTTTCGAGATCGTGACTAGTTTCAAACTGGTCTTTGTATTTGTTTTCAATTTTTGTATTGTTTTATTTAGTTGCATTTGAAGAGAATGGTATGTTTTTTTTCTTTTGAGTCTTGAGTATGTTTTATATCAGGGGTTACATAATCTGAAATGTGGACCGTTCATAATACCAGTCCCATTAAAACTAGTAAATACTCTCTGTCTTGTCAATTCATTTGCGAGAATTGCTGTCTTATGATTCAGCATTTTTAGAATGAGATGAAATGTGGCTTTCCTAATCCAGACCGAATCCAGTTACAGGGATTATTTTTTCTTAGAAAAAAATCACAATGAAATGTATAGTTGGCCTGTTTAACAAGTGAAGGACAACTTTCTTAAAGGGATACTCCACCCCAAAATGAAAATGTTGTCATTAATCACTAACCCCCATGTTGTTCCAAACCCGTAAAAGCGTCGTTCGTTTTCGGAGTACAATTTAAGATATTTTGGATGAAAACCGGGAGGCTTGTGTCTGTCCCATTGACTGCCAAGTAACTTACACTGTCAAGGTCCAGAAAAGTATGAAAGACATCGTCAGAATAGTCCATCTGCCATCCGTGGTTCAACCATAACGTTATGAAGCGACGAAAATACTTTTTGTATTTTGTAAAGGTGATGGAGAAATGGAGCGAGCCGGCGCTTCAGCCAATAACAGACAGATCTGACTCGGCTGCAAAACCAATCAAAACCTCCAGTTCAGCTGCAGGGGCGGGGCGTTCAAAACGCGCTATGCTTTGACTGTCAATCACTGGCGTTGTCGTTTTGAATCAGCTTCATTAGCCTTTCAATATTTTAGTCAATGTGAGCTATGCTCTGATTTATAATCTTAGTTTTGTCAGCTCCTGAAATGGGTCATACCTTCCATATTACAAGAGCACACAGCAGTATAAGTAAATAGAAAACTAGGTTGATAGAAGGACAGTTATTGCAACGTTATGAAGCGACGAAAATACTTTTTGTATTTTGTAAAGGTGATGGAGAAACGGAGCGAGCCGGCGCTTCAGCCAATAACAGACAGATCTGACTCGGCTGCAAAACCAATCAAAACCTCCAGTTCAGCTGCAGGGGCGGGGCGTTCAAAACGCGCTATGCTTTGACTGTCAATCACTGGCGTTGTCGTTTTGAATCAGCTTCATTAGCCTTTCAATATTTTAGTCAATGTGAGCTATGCTCTGATTTATAATCTTAGTTTTGTCAGCTCCTGAAATGGGTCATACCTTCCATATTACAAGAGCACACAGCAGTATAAGTAAATAGAAAACTAGGTTGATAGAAGGACAGTTATTGCATGGATGGACAATGTAAGTGTCTAATGGAGCGAGCCGGCGCTTCAGCCAATAACAGACAGATCTGACTCGGCTGCAAAACCAATCAAAACCTCCAGTTCAGCTGCGGGGGCGGGGCGTTCAAAACGCGCTATGCTTTGACTGTCAATCACCGGCGTTGTCGTTTTGAATCAGCTTCATTAGCCTTTCAATATTTTAGTCAATGTGAGCTATGCTCTGATTTATAATCTTAGTTTTGTCAGCTCCTGAAATGGGTCATACCTTCCATATTACAAGAGCACACAGCAGTATAAGTAAATAGAAAACTAGGTTGATAGAAGGACAGTTATTGCATGGATGGACAATGTAAGTGTCTAAAATACATGCACACAGTTCAGTTGAATGATAAAAAAGCCCTGTATTAAGCAGACAGTCTACTAATACTCTAATGACTGCTAGTTGGCATGTAGTTGCTAAATTACTTAACTTTACTGTTAGTAGAATGTCTAAAGTGGACTATCAAAATAAAGTGTTACCAAAACATTGTTTAAATACTTTCTCATAAAGATCTGTAAACTTATTTGGATTTTATATATATATATATATACATTTATAAACAAGAATAAATTACTTAACTTTACTGTTAGTAGAATGTCTAAAGTGGACTATCAAAATAAAGTGTTACCAAAACATTGTTTAAATACTTTCTCATAAAGTATTTAAACAATGTTTTGGTAACACTTTATTTTGATAAAGTGTTACCAAAACATTGTTTAAATACTTTCTCATAAAGATATCTGTAAACTTATTTGGATTTTATATATATATATATATACATTTATAAACAAGAAACTTCCTTTTTCAGGATGCTGTATTTTAAAGATAATTGCGGACAATTAATTGACAAAATTTGATAATTTAGACAATTATTTATGGGATGTATTGAGTCTTTCAGGGATGTATTGAGTAATTCAGACTTATTATAGCTTTTTTGTTAAAACAGTTTGAATGATTCTTCTTATCCCTAAAGCCCTAGGGCTGTAAACGTGTTTTGAACAGTGCAATTATTCATCTAATAGCATACCTTGTGCAACAAATGCAACATGAAATTGAAAAACTTTGAAAATCCAATTTTGGAATGGAATCGATCCCTCATGTTTTTCTTAATTGCGTAATATAGACAGAAAACATAGACACTACAACTATACAATCATTAGCAACTTTTTTTTAACAGCTGTATGCTGAAAAAATGTCTCTGGTATGTTATAATGTGCTTCTTTTGGTAGCGTCTAATGATAATTAAGAATAATTAATAAATGTAAAATAAAAAATAGAATTGATTGTGACTGTGTCAAAACAGGTAACATGAAAAGAAGACATTTTTATGGGTTGGATTAAGTAGAAATAGATGGAAATCGTCAGTAGATGTGAGAAAACAGTATGTTTGAAAGGTTTTGCTTGTACTATTTTTAGAGTAATGCTTTTTAGAGAATATGCAAATAACCCTATAACATTACACCGTTTTAAAACATATGAAACATATTTTGATAATATTACAAATGTAGCATTTCTATTTGGTGTCCTTGGCACTGAAATCACAGACTTAACCTTTGCATGAATATTTCTCTTTCACTCTTTTATTATTGTAATTTTCAATGTAGACAGAGTCTATATTGAAGCAAACCGCCAGAGTCCTACAGAGGGCAGTAAAACATGCTATCCAAAGTCCATTATACTCAGAGCTGGCACTCATCTGTTTGTTCAGAGGAACCTTTGGGACTTTGGTTTCAAGAACATACAGAGTGAAGTTTGGAAAGTCTTTGAAAGGCAGTTCATAAGTGGAAGGAGTCTGGAAAAGTAGAGGGTCTAAGGGACTAATTAAAAGCTTGGTGGAGGAGAGGCTCATAATGGCTATTGCTGGCATTGCTTGAGGGTTTAATTAAACAGCCTCATGTCTAATGATGCGATGTGGGATATCGCATTTGTCTTACAATCCTACAGAGAGAGCGAGACTGTACATAAAATGACTTTGAAGAACGCTTAGTCGATACAGTTTGTGGTATACTGGGAAATGGCTGTTGGCATACTGGGAAATGGCTGTTGGCTAGTAGATGATGGAAAAATATTTGTTAAAATTATTTGCAAAAAAAAGACTTTTGTCAATGCTTGATACTCTGTTGGGACACAAGAAGCTCTCAGACGTGTAGACTTCCAAAAAGTATGCCTTCAAGTCCTGTCAGAATGATCATATTTAGGAGATACAGTATGTGAACACCAGCATAAAGTCTTTTAGATGTTTACAGTAAAACACTCAAGCGAGACTTTGTTGAGCCCTGACTTTCTCTGTTGGGGTGTATTGTGATTAAAGAATCACGATGGAACAAATTGATATTGATCATAATCATGTAGGCCCTATGTTTAATGTTTTTAAAAAAAATGTTTTTATCTTATTTCGCTTTTTTTTTTGTCATTTTAGTTTTAGTTCCGTTTATGCAATGCAGTTATATTTGTGGGCTTTCTGTCTTTATTTAGATAAGGATTAGGTAGTAGGTACACTCAAAAAAATGCTGGGTTAAAGACAACCCAGTGCTGGGTAAAATAGGGACAAACCCAGCTATTGGGTTGTTTTGACCCAGCGGTTGGGTTACTACCCAGACGGTTGGGTTAAACATTTAACCCAACTGCTGGGTCAAAACAACCCAATTGCTGGGTTTGTCCCTATTTTACCCAGCACTGGGTTGTCTTTAACCCAGCATTTTTTAGAGTGTATGGGAATGTGATAGAGAAAGAACCTCAAGCCAGGACTCATACTTGGGTCGCACACACACTCTAAAAAATGCTGGGTTAAATGCAACCCAGTGCTGGGTAAAATAGGGACAAACCCAGCAATTGGGCTGTTTTGACCC